CGACAATAACTGTTTATTATATGCGCATCTTTCCCCTACGTTATACCTATACGATTGAGAATGACGTTTAGTTATGCATAAACACTTCCATAGTAACAAAGTACCTTCCATGGCGGAATATTAACTAAAATTACTAATCTGACGAAACTTTTTTTGGACCTCATTAAAAAGTGTGATATAATACTATCATTGCTATTAAAATACCACACCCCCTCCTCCTCATAATATTATTATAGTGTTTGCGACACTCGACTGTTCACTCTTCCTTACTACCCTACTGCTTCTCACTACAATATTAATGCAGATATTTTTTTTATTTCAAAATTTCTTAGCGGTACAGCAGACGGTCCCGATCTATGCATAGATGCATAGCATGCTCACATCAATCACACTCCGTGTCCCAAGCCCATTCAACAAGGAACCACTCACTTTTCTATACTTCAGTCTCACCACACCCCACCACGTATGGTATCAATAATCATTTCATACACAGTTTTCTCCACCAGTTTAATAAATTATTTTAGTTTTTCTGCTAACCTTAATTTATAAAATGTATTTCATGTGTTTGTGATTTTAAACTATAATTCATCTTCTACACGTTTTCGCTATATAATTTGTTATAAATTATACAACTTGTCAAATGCCACATGGTGTCAGATAAAATAAAATCATTCTAACAAGAATTAAAACAAACGGAGCATTTTACAATGTGTGTTACATGCTTTTTTTTAGGGGGTGTATAGAATATTAATATTCAATAAGGTTTATATATAGTTTAGGTTTCAAGTTTCAAACTATTTTTGGATTCGAAATGTTAACTGTACAATTATAGTCAATACTGTCGAACTGGTACTTCAAGCTCAACACACAAAGTGCACAACATTATTAAAATTAGTTTTAAGTAAACCTAAATTGTTTAATCATCGACATATATTAATTAAAATAACAATATGAATTATTCATACTCCGCCCATTATTAATTTAAGTATCTTATACATATTTGTATAAGTACCTACATAATATTATATTAAATTGTTTTGAATATTTTAGAAAACTGGCTGAAATTTTAAAATGTGTACCTATATAGTCATAGTAGTAATAATCCATATGATATAAAATATTAAAATCTATCAGTGTGGATATTAATATATTATCGATGCTTAAAAAGAGACATTTAGTCATTTAATTTTTTTAGTCTTTTTATGAAATTCTTAGAACACTCGAGATTAAAATGTTTAACGATTAGGTGTTTTTATTGTTCTAAAATTATACCTGTACACATGCATTTTAAATAGTAACTAGTGTGATATTTTAATGTGCTTTATTTGTTCGACTGTGTGTACTGCGTATTACCTACATGGCTATATACTCGTAATATAGGTTCACTATACAAACATTTTAATCGTATAGGTAATCAATTCAGTGACCTACACACGGCACTATAAGTACTATCATTGGTACAGAAACTAAAAATAGTTTTAATATAGATACGATTTTTTGGCGATAAACAACTGTAATTGGATATCATTAGAAGACGTGATTTTTGTGATAGTTATATTATAATACGCTGCATTATGCAAATAAAACGGCTGATAATGTATATGCTTACCTACATAATATTTTATTACAATATTGTTTTTCATTCGATGCGTTTTAGAAAGGACCTAAATTTATTGCTAATACATCAAGATATTAAGGATTCTTAGTCCCTACCTATAGTCTATAACAATATAAAATATTTAAAAATATTATAAACACTTCTTGTTATAATTCTTTTTCCAAGTCTGTGATTTATGTTCACAGAAAATATACTATTAGTATGGTGTGGGTGTACAGTATTAATAGGGAAAATATAAAAAAAATTTTACAAATTATATTTATATAGTTATTAACATACTAAAAAAAATATTTATTTTAATTAGATATTTAATATAATATCAATGTAAAATGTCAACATCTCTATTAATGGCTAATGCTATGACTATTCGTCAGTTATTGTCGTAGATATAATGATTTTAATATTGCCATCAATTTGTTATCATCTGTATATTATATTATTCTATAATTTATATCAATTTATTTTTTTCTATTGTCATTTAATTGTTCGTTTTAATATTATTATGATTATGATATTATATATTACATGGAAATGTGTCATTTGAGACCAGATAAAAACTTCTTATTGCAAGAGATCAAGCTTCTAAAAATGATTTGCGATGACGAAATGTAGGATAGTATAATTTAAAAAAAAAAACCATTCTATAAACTATACGGAATAGAATAATAAGGCGCAATTGAATTCGATTTACCTATTTTAAAAACACAGCCAGAAGCACAAAAAGATTAAACTATCATAAACAAATTAAAAATTCGTGTGTTTAATTAGTGTATATAAGAGTATAGGTATATAACGTTACCTAAATTTAATGAAGCTGAATTATTCGATTTTCCGCGAAAATGACCCACTTTAATTATGATATTCACCTTGCTTATTTATTCGCTATGAAAACATTATACAAGACGAAAGTCCGTTTTAATACAAAACGATTAAACACTCTAGGAATTTTTAGATAGGGCTATAAAATTAGATGTCTGGACTATTTTTACAGTCAACAAATTAATTTTCGGTCTAATGAAACTGTGTTAAAACCGATACCAAAAAAGAATACTCCTTAAAGAAGACTATATGCTCATGAGGTTCAAAAGATAAAGTACTCTATAGGGACTCTCGGAACTTAAGCTGAACATGCAGCTCTCACTATTCAATAACCTACAGAAAATATTAAATTTAAATACATTTCAAATATGTTTATTGTGACATAATATATTACATAATTTTTTTTAAAAAGTATAATTGAATAATTATCAGTGATCAAAAATAGAATAATTAAATTAACAATGTTTGTGTGCTTTAATTAAGTACTTTTAAAAGTTACGTTTTTTTTTTATCTCAATTTTATTGCTATTGTGACTCATCGCGTATTGCGAACACATGAAACGCGTAATACTATACGTTTTGAAAATAACAAAACAAGACGACAAGCCTATTATATTATAATACTATATATTATTATATTATATTTACGCATAAAACCCGTTTGGCAATAGAAAATAATATGTATTTATATGTGTTAAGTGTACATGATTGAACCAGAGTACACTGCACGGCATATATATATATGATATATAATATAATGTATAATATATGTGTGTGCATTGCCGAGTATAAACATATTATATATAAACCTACCTATTATATTATTCCGCTTGCACGTAACACGAGACGCGTGTATACAATATTATTACACACACAAATACACATATAAGTACCGAAATCGTACTTTCAACGAGTGTGTTTGAACAACCTATTATATTAAATTATATTATATATTATTTATATATAAAAAGTAAGTAGGCCAAGATTTGAAGAAGAAGATAAATATCTCATATCCTTCGATTACTTTTTTTCTGTATTATTACTATTATTTTTATTTTTTTCGGTTTCGGTTTTTGTTGTCGTCGTCGTATTAGTTCTTACTTTTCTTCTTCTCTTCCTTATCCCGTGCTCTTCTTACCGGTTTGTTGTATACGGCGGCCCCCGGGGCAATGAAAACCTTCAGACGACCGCATCGGCCTATGGGTCCTACATTCATTAATCATCCGTATTTGATCCATTAGAGCCAACAAAAATAATACGCACGAGTAGAAATATTTTTTTTATACAATAATATAATATAATACACATATATATACTATTGGCCTCACACGGTCATAAGCCTCCTCTTTGTGTGTGTGACGGGCAAAAAGTAGCGGTGAACCCTTTTAAACGAAACAGACCCACTTTTCGCGATAATATACTATTGTGATATAATATAATATTATCATTATTATTATTTATTATTATGTGTACGTTTTTTCGCCGTCGTTATATATCTTATTTCTAAACGCATTTTTTCGTCAATCGCGATCGATTTTGTTTCGTGGGCGAGTCCGTTACCGCCAAACACATATTTCACTTCGTGTTTGTGTACGCATCGGAATAATGACTATTTACACATAATATGCTGCAGAGTATAATTATTATACTATAATATGATGATAGAATAATGCGCTGGTACCTACACACTTCACCGACATTAATAAACAAGCATCAGTAGAAATGTGTCAGATGTTATATTATGTACCTAACTACCTATATCATTTTGAATGATGTTTACGGTGCTACTTACTTGTTTTGTCCGCCTCGTTGCGGGTGGCATAGCAGCCGATAAGTTCCTATAATATGTACAACTATTAGCTGGTACAGACGTACAGTTGTAGTCTTAAGTTTTAATCCACCAGCCATGCTCACGAACATAATATTTAGAGAACGATTCGTGAAATCCCTATATTATATTATATTGGTTTTAAATCAAAATATAATAGAACGTAAACGTGATTGAAATTCATATTTTTAAGGAAATTGAACGTGAAATTCCATTTTTAAAATTTAAATCATGAGTTTAGATACTAAGTGAAGTATATAGTATATCCGTATATATAGTATAGTAATGGATATATTGATTTTATAATGATTGTTTTTTTTATTGTGTGTACCTATGTGTAGGTTCACAATTTCTAGTAAGATTTTCAAGATTTTATGAATTTTGTCAGTTGGAAATTTAAATACATATAAAAATAATTGTGCCTATGTATCTTTAATATTTTTGAACTTCTATTAAAGAAACTTAGGAAACTTTGAGCATATTAAAAATTAAAGACTTTAAATAAGTGAAAAAGTTTTTATAATTTTTTATCACATTTTTTTTATAGAAAATGTATTATACTCAATTATTGACAAAAGACAAATAGTAAAAAAAAAATCAATATTTTAGATTGACTCAATGACCGTTAACTGACTTGACGATTCCGGTTCCTCGGGTTCAACGCTCATGGGTGTCGAATCGTCCACCTCCATCGCTACCGGTTGTGCTGGGGAGGTTGGTGGTGGATTAGCGCCCTTAGAGTCCGAGGTGGATTCGTGATGTCTGGCTAGCCGCTGTTCCTGACTTACCGCTGGTGTCCTGGCCTTCAGCAGTTTTATCACTCTCAGCAATTTTTTGTTGTTGTGCACCTTCCTGGTGGTTGGCTGATTTGCGAGGTTGTGATAGTGGCGGCCGAGGGATCCTCTGGATGTCAACACGTAGTTTCTGTCGTAGTTGACTAAAGTAGCGTGCCCATTCTCGATGGTAAATCATCTCCCCTACCGGGTCCCGTCGTACGCGCTGCAGTTCTTGACGCACCAAAAGCATTTGGGGATCCGTTGTATGCTGGTCTTCGCGAGGGGTGATCACGTGTGGCAGTATCCGCTGTAGACGGGGTTGTGGGATTGTTTCTCGTCCATCTTTGGTCATTGTTAGCTGAAATTGTGATTTGGTTTAAATGCTTATTTTAGCTACACTAATTAGTCTTTAAAGAATGAGTTAAAGTTAATTCTCTAACGTGGAAACAAACCTGCCTGCTAGTAACCGTAGTAATGCACTGAGTGTTATTTTTTTGTTTTTAGCTATAGACATATTATAAAACAATTAGCAGTGTACATAGAAATGGAATAGTTTTTAAATTTTTTACTTTGTTCTTAACCAATAATATTGAAGTTACCTTAATTTTTCAGTCAAATTAATTTAAATAGAACGTTAATTTTAATATAGCATCTTAACTATTTGTAAGTATTGAAATAACTCATTAGAATTGTAATTTCAGGAATCGGTGTTATATAGTTTAATGATTTGGAGGGTCAATTAACCACAAGTTAAGGTCATAATAATAATAATTATTATAATCTGAATTATTTTAACATTTAAAATTAAATAAATCAATGGGCGTGGTTATAACTATTTATGTACTTGATTTTGCCGCTTTATTTTGAAGTTATTTTTACTAAGTATGAGCATAATATATTATTATAATAGGTACCTACTTTTATATTTAAATAAATATTATAATATTTATTAAACTCATCAACAATATTATCAAATATGAGAATTTATTTAAATCATAGGTATAATATTTTAACATCACACGAATATCTGTGATTTACCTAATTACTTACTACTAACTGCATTTTTATGTATTTTCATTATATTATGTTGTTATATGATAACACGTATAATATACACAGCAACAACAATATTATTTCGTCCATACTCCATATAGAGGTAGTATAATGTTTTATTATTTGTGTTGCACAATACTTAAGGGTATATTAAGCATAATTTATGTTTACATTTTTTTGTACCTTGGTGACTAGAGGCGTCTCGATCCACTGACAACACTTCGTAGTTCTATAATTTACACGTTTTATAATATGTATTTCGAAATTTTAATTCAATAGATTATTTAACTAGTTGACTGGCATGAACTCTTATATTAATATGAGATCCCACCAAACTTTGTCCTAACCACCACGGAGTTTCTCATACGTTTACTTAAATACAGTTTTGACAATTTAAACAAAATATTCATTGAAAAACCTATTAATGATATTTGCGAACTTGTAACAACTACTGAAAGTGCAACACTGTACATATCAAATCTAGCGAGATAATACCATAAAAATACATCTGTGGAAAATACTGAATATCGACTATCAAGACATAGAACGAGATCTTATTGGATTCGTTTCCAGTGAGATACAGACATTTTATAAGAGATCTCAAAATCATAAGTCCCTTGATGTTTGTACGTAAGTGTATGATTTAACTCTAAAGTATCAAAGTTATACCAAGTTGTTGTATTCCACCTATGGTGGATTAATATAATCAGGTAACACAAAATCCTAAACGTACTAATATCAAATGAATAAAAAAAAACCAAATTTAACCATTTTTAAACGGCCTGTCTTCTTCCCAGAGGTCTAATCTACACACAAACATTAATTTATAACTAATTTAACAAACAAATTGTTTTGGCGATAATGTTTACTGCAATTGTTTGATAACTGAATGCACTTTTCGACAACTTGGTTGTCAGATTTAGCAAACAATTAAAAATTAAGTTAACTTTCTTCGGTTACTGATATCCACTGATAACGATTTTATGATTTGTCATCCGAGATCCGAGTATCCGACATTAGCTATCAAATCATGAAAGAATAAAATACTGTACAGTGAACAAAACGTTTTGGCGATATATCAAAAAAGTAGTTAATTGAACAAACAATTCTAGTAACCTGGTGGCTGGTTGCTCAAAACTGCATCGCCAAGACACGCTTTATATTGACAAAAAACAAAATACAAATCAACAAACATGCCCGATTAACCAATAGCAACCAATATAAATTATAATACACTATTGCGCCACTAATCACTATTATATTTTTTTCATCCAGATTTCCTACTTTTCCGGTTGATTTTCCTAAAAATGTCTTTCGTATAAATCTTCTCCTTTCAATTACGAACATCTTAAAAAAAAATTTGAGCCAAATCGGTCAGGCCGTTCTCGAGTTTTAGCTAGACTAACGAACAGCAATTAATTTATATATATATTAGGTGACAAATAACTTTTAAGCTTATAAAGAAATCATCGTTACGCCGACCCACATTTATTTTTGAACTTTAAACTTTTTATTTTTATCCGAAATACTTGGACACAGTTTGAGAATTCAAAAATAATACAACCAAAGTAATAGGTATCGGAAATAACAGTACGACACCTTATAGATTATAGTTATTTAATATTTTTGAGTTCTGTAATTTTAATTTGTTCTTGTATTAATTCAAAAACAGCCTTCTCATTTATGTAATAATTACACAGTAGGTATATTATTAAAAAGTTTTTTTATCCTGAAAATTCTGTGCATATCAAAATTAAAGACATTTTTTTATTCAGTAATTAATTGTTTGGCCATACAAAGCTATTTTATTATTTCTATTAAAATTGCTATTTAAAAAGAATTAGTGATAAAAATGAGATTTTTTATTTAAATGTAGGTATTAATTAAAATATACCTAAAGCATTCATAAAATATTATATCTGGTAATTTTTAAGTGCAAATCGATCAGAAAAAAATGATTGTTATTTTAATCGGACCTTTCTTAAAGGAAGTATATGGTAGGATCCATTTCTTCATATTTTTTTTTTTTAACATTTGATTATTTTTATTAACTATCAAAAATACACGAACTAACTAATAAAGATAAAGGAGTTAGGTGGGAGAACACTTATAGACTTCAGTGGTTGTCTTAACATTTGTTAATAATGATAAACCATTACATTTAATAAACGATTTCATATGGAAATCTGTTTATATACGACTGTAAATTGGTTTGCTTTTTGATTCTAATCGAAGTGAGCAATTCGTTTCACATTTATGTTAATTTTTCATTTTCCGTGAATATTATTTTGGTACAACGTTACATCTAGTATTTATCTCAGAGTACTTCTATAGTTCCGAAATTGTATAGGTATTCTAGAAAAACCTTTTTGGTTTTATTAGAGTTCCGCTTAAGGTTAATTTTAGAGTTCAATAATTTATCGTTGTTAGACCCTAAACCATGTCTGGATTTTTTACTGTTACACTCAAAAACAACTGTGTTAATTAAAAATATAGGTACTTGTCAAAATTACAGTAAATTTATAATCTATATATTATGTGCTGCAATAAAAACTGACTGAGATTTTTTGCTGCGTGGAAAAGTGTTAGCCAAAAAACACTGATCTTTAACCATTTAACCCAAAACGGGTGTAACGAGACAGTTATAATCTTGTTCAAACTTAAATTATCTTTTGTATGTATATTGAATATCATCAAAGCTATTATGTGCACAGTACACTATATTATTAATAGAAGAAAATTCATTTTAAACTTCTAAATATTATTAATTATAACTTTAATGGTCAAGATTAAGTTACCATTTGATGATAATCCCTGACACATATTCAAGCAGACAAATGACCAATAAATTAAAAGCCATGTTTGTGTTCCCTACTTGATAACTTATCTTACCGCATTTGTTCATAGTTCGTCGGTTACTCGGTAGCAATTACTTTCTTATATTTATTTAATTATAACCCAATGTTAAATAATGTGTGTTATTCTTACAGTGCGGATAAACATCAAAGTTATTTGTTTGCTTCTGATTAATTAATACTCTTTAAGTGAATTAATTGACTTAGCACCAAGTCGTGTTCAGTGTCTTTTGTTAAAAATAATTGTGTTATTACCAAAATGAACAAAAAATATGATCATGTATTATTATTTATTCCACGAATCAGTGTTTGGTGATTAGTGATAACAATTTTAAATTTTGTATCGGTTTGGGAACGATAAGTTTCCGTTGACAGTTATTGACATCACCAGTCAAACTATCGAGAATACTTAACGCGAATACTTTAGAATATATTCCAAGTCATAACCTCAAATCTCATCACATTCGTAAAAAAGTTTCAATGTTAATTTACTTGCAAAAAATACTTAAGTTTGGAAACTTAGCGAAATATTTCGTCTTGGGGGACTGATTGACCAAAAAAAATGCGCCATCCCTCCGAGGTCCTCAACCGTCAGCCATCTTGGATTTTATGTGATATTTTTCACTTTTTTACGGTTTTTTTATAATATCTCTAAAATTAATAACATAACGATAAAAATAGCTTCAATAAAAATTGAAGATCATAAAATTTGTGACAAGAAAGGATCTTGACGTTCTTAGTGTAAGAGTAATAGATAAGCGCAAAATTCATCCACCCGTCATAGAATGTGGCGCCTCGCGCTATAATGATATATATCTACGTATGCACGTAGTTTGCAAACGGATCGAACGTAGATTACAGTGGCGTCATTTGGGGGAGGGACACTGGGGCATTTGCCCCAGTCTAGTATTTACATCAACCTTAAGTCGGCACATTTACCACACTCCCCCCCTCACCCCCGTTTACCTCTATGGCACTATGGTATGAGAATCTGAGTGAAAAAAATGTTGAGTCGGAAAAGTGAAAAATTGCCCTATAGTCTAATAAAAACTGAAATGACGCCACTCATTGGCGTAATTAGGGGGGGATTAAGGGGATAGATCCCCCCAAAACATTTTTTTTTACTGCTAGCAATTTGGTTTGGGGGATATACGTTTTTAGCAAGCATTAATGGTCATTACCAATACTTCGATCAAAATGTTAGCAGTAAAAAAAAAGTTTTGGTGGGGATCTATCCCCCTAATCCCCCCAATTACGCCCCTGAGTGGTGTTATTTCAGTTTTTATTAGACAAGGGCAATTATTGACTGGACTAATACTGTTAGGAGAAACAAAAAAGCACTGTAGTGTAGGAACATTTAGAGGTTGGGACTTGGGAAGTCAGATTAGAGTGGAATATTTGGTATATTGAACCACGAGGCGACATTATTGATATTAATTAGGCA